GTGTCGTAAACAGTGGCATTCGTGCATCTCCTCAATTTCTTTCCAACCTTAGACCACTGAACTTCTCCATTTTCTTTTCGACTCCACTTTCAAGTTTCCTTTCTTCTCCTATTCTTCATCCCAATGGGCAGCCAAAAGACAGCAACCAAAACCGGCGCACGAAAGTGCATGGTTAATGATTGTTCAAACTGAAACTGATATGTCAAGTGCTATACTGGCGAACTGGTTATTGCAGAAATTAAACCTACCATGCGGCAAATCGGACAAAACACGTAACTTCAAATAGTCATCTTTAGGGATGAAATGTGGCGCGATGGTGGTCGAAAGTGCTTCGCAGCCCAAGCATACAATCCACTTTACTAATCTGCGACAAGCCAAAAGGAACTGAACTACTTTTACGGGTGGGTGTAATACAATCTTAGTCTTTGATCACAGTAAGACCAACTATTGGAGGTGATAAAGCTGAAAATGTACAAAAGTACCCTCTGGGCACGTTGAGAGCAATAAAACGTACCGAATAAGGTTGTTTTCAGTTATTCGTAAGTATGCCAATGCATAACACCGAATAAGTATGACATCGAAATGCGTACATTATTGTGTTGTCGTGATTGACAATATGTGAAACCTAACTTTTTCGTTACAGTTGAAAATGTTTTTCACTGCATTTGGTTGATTCTTATGGCTAAAAAATCAGAATTCCCGCTGTCACTTGGTTGAACATTATTTCAATATACTGAGGCTCTTGTGTTTCATTAGAAGAGCTCCAGGAGTTCTGGTTGCCGAATGTTCACCTTTTGTAACTGTATTATTCGGTCCAACAGCCACTTATTGCCTTAAGAGGTGCGGTAAAGCTATACTGTCCCGTAGTGGTGTATGAAGGAACAAGACGGATAAAAGAAAGCATAAAATTCATGGGTATGCCGAAGGTGGATTCCGCTGTGCCTAAATAACGATTCACTGGAAGGTGTTCAACGTGAGTAAGCTACCTAGTTCTGGTCACATGGTTACCATATGTAGGCTGTGAGTAAATCATTCTGTTGTGGGGTAATTTTTGCGGAACCTGAAACCAGCAATAGAATGTGGTTTTGTCCAAATTTAAAGAATTACGATTTTCATTCCTTTAATTAGGTACTTCATGGATACATTAATTTTATGCGACTGCATACTTTCGTTTTTCCAAACAATGCCCCAGCCAACCGCCAGCGTGATAGATGCAACGGCTACCGAACAATCCAAGGACCGACCTCCCAGCGAAGTCCCGGAACCCGTAATCATCTTAGGACCAGTACCCACACTGGGCTTGTCAGATGAGGCTTATCTGAGCGAACTTCCAGAAACTAATCAATGCATTTTAACAATCACCGGTGGTCTGACAGAATTGCGATTGCATATTCTGGGTGAACGCATTGCTGTTTTACCGAATCTACCGGAAGCGAGAGACTTCTCCGAGATGGGAGACAATGCAGCACCGAACGCATCAGCTGGTGGGGGTGGAGGTGCTGGTACGGCAACCAGTACGGGAACACCCGGGGTTGCAACTGGTGGAACGGGAGCGGCAAACAATGAAACAGAAGCGGTCAATGCAGAAATACCCAATTATCACAAACACGAGCTCACGCATTTGCTGGGTCGATGGTTCACACCAGACGAATTAATCACTGTTTTGCAGCTGTCCGGTGTCAACATGTTCCCTCGCGAGGACTCTGTATGTCGTGTGGATTGTTTGGATAAGGTAAGGTAATTCTGTTTGCAGGATTCGAACAGTTTCATAGCATTGGAAGTTTGATGGGTAAATCATGGATTAAAGCATACATTTTCATGGTTTACTTGTATTGAGTTAAAATATAGATGTGAAGAGAACGGAATATGATCAGTTTCTCAAGTTCCCGGCAACTGAAAAGTGTATCAGCCAGTGGACTAATGAAAAGAAAATGATACGAATGGATACTAACTGAAAAAAATTAAACTTACAAGGAACAGAAATGCCCAAATAATTCTCACGCGATTGGGGCAACGATTAAACAGCGTCAAGAGATTAGCCGTTACTTCGTAGCACGAAATAAACCGGAATGGGGGTAAAAATAGAAGAGACAGATTACGAATATGGTGGGAAACTTTTCAACAAACAGGCGCCCTGATAATCGACACAACGAGCAAATGACCAGTGCTCGGTAAATGAACTTTCTCCATTATAACTCTTGAAATTAGGCAATTATAACGCTGTGTAACGTCTGGTTTGTGCCCACTTACTGACTAGAATTTAAAAAGAAGCGTATATTTTCGCTCAACGGTTAATTCTTACAGCAAAAGTTCGTATTTTGAGGGTAAAGCTTGCTTGCTTTGGCTTATAGCTGAGGTTCCATCTTCCTCACATCACAAATTGCCTTAACCCGAGGGAATGGAACTGAGACAACGGTGCTATCTATGAAATCATTAGCATAGTGGCAATGAGTGTTCTGCTGATTGATTGAACCTTAGATCACAGTTTAGATTCACGCATTCCTAGTCTTTTAACACAGAATTAAGAAACTGATTTTGACACTGAGGTCTCAAGGTCCCTTTATTTACGGCAGCTCTTAAGACTGAGGTGCAGTCTGTCTACTGTAATTCACACTTACACGCATTGAAAACAGATGCACACTCTTTCCACCTCGACCAAAGAGCGATTCTTGACCTCACCAAGGATAGCGAATTCTGAGGGAGAGTTGGCTAGCCTCGAATGCTTTGTTCTGAAGACCAACAGGTATACTGAAGACAAACATACGTCATAAACAATAAGAAATTATCTGAAGAAAAGATAGTGTGAGACCCTACCCCAATGACAGTGCGATTCTGTTTTTCCATCACACTCAATTTCATATGGACTTGGTTACATGGGATCTCTTACTCAATCGCTTTGTGTGGTAACTGTCATACATTAGCGACCAACTGATAGTGTAAGTGGGAGTCTTCAATATACGGTGGGCGGTGGTGGCCTGGTGGTAACGTCACCCCGGGGATGTGTGTTCAAATCCCACCCCCACCGCTTGACTTCCCCCATCGTGTTGAATGGAAACCCTTCGCTTGGCCGCTTCCCCCTTCCTGAAGATTGTCTTTGTACGTTCAATTAAAGGAAGTAAAATAAAGAAAAAATAAGAAGCTAAAATCGCAATTTAAATTGATCTATCGTCTCAAACCTTGGAATAAGTTGGAGTTCATTCAGTCAACAAAAGTTAAATATGTAGTGCATTTACTAATGCCTTCATTACGTTACATAATGTACAAATATTGAAGGTTGGATACGCTTAGACTTAAATGGATATTCACAAGCTGTTACATTTGAGAACTCATTTACCTAGGTTTTGCATCCTGTTTGGAAGTATAAACTTTAATTCAAGAATATGCTGCTCAAGTTCAAAGGGGTAAAGTATTTTAAATGTCACAATGCGATAAGATTCACTGGCATATCTAAGTTTCAACTAGCAATTTTTCAAACTGACCGATTGGTCTCCGATCACGCATTGAGTATGATTATGGTTACTATAAATATTGCACTGAACTTCCGATAGTAAATATCACTCTGTGGTGATCACGACAAAATCCGAGAGCTGAAACACAACTTCCTCAGTGAACTGAGGAACTGGGAACAGGAGCTCTTACTGTTAAAAATTGTGATAAATTTTGGCTCCACAAAGAGATCCTTTCACTCCAACGAATAAGATGAGTAAGTAGGTTAGTTGGAGGTGTGCAATACATTTGAATTCATTATCCGCTAGAATCTAACAGTCATCTCAACACGGAAACCAAACGCGGTAAATACCAATGCCAGTGGCACGAATTATGTTTCCGTCGTGTTGCGATAGTCCAGTAGATGAACACCAAGAGTGATTGAGAAGGGTAAAATCCGGTATATTTATGTTATAGACTGAGGTTTTCGAATACCTACGGTCGATAGCAGAAGGGATTTACGGACACCGATTTGAGTGACTTTATCTGTACTTAAGAAAAATGCAATGAGAACCAACAAGTTTGTCCATCATATGGCTCCTATCTCTTTACATATTAACGATTAAAAACGTCTTGTGACAGAATCCTATCACGGAGCAACGACTATACGAGCAAATGGCCCTTCTGAGCCCAGCTTTTGCATTCGGTTGGTCTCGTTGGAATGCTGAATGCGGTGACCGAGACACAATTGTTGTTACAGCGGTAGAACACGTCGATCAAGAAGACACGGTGGATGAGGTAGGAATAATGTTTACCTGAAACTATCCCCTCGTTTCAGTTCTTTTTACTGTCCATTTCAGTGTAACATTGACAGATCAGCATCGATCACTGCACTAGAACTAAATACATGGATTTTGAATGAGACAAAACAAGCTGAAGTATTTCTTTCAATATACAATGTGCACATCATATTTATTTTACGATGTTGGGATAACCACATACAAACGATGGATTATCTTTTAAACTAGGCTCCGGCGAAACTTTCGATCGCTGGTACCAACCCCTTAATCAATGCTGATGAACCGGCTACAAAACAAATGAAACAACTCGACTACCCTAACATTCTGCGTTTGGCTACCAGGAATGGGACCTCGAGACCATGGTTACCGGTGGTTAGATACACTGAGCGATATGCCTGTGTGTCGCAAACAGTGGTGCTCATTATTCTTGCAAACTCATTCTATATCTTTCGCTTGAATTAGTTCTCAACATTCTGCGCTTTTATCCAAACGGGCGTCCAAAAGACAGCAACCAAAACCGATGCACAAAAGTGCATGATTAATGGTTGTAAAAACTGAAATTGATTTCGCTGCATGATGATTTTTGTACATCTATTTATTGTCCTTGCAATCTTGGTTTAGATTAATTCTGCATCTCCTATTTGACTTTACTCTCAAAATTCCTTCCTTCTGCTCTTTTATGGGCAGCCTAAATACTGCAACCAAAACCGTCGCACATGGTCAATGGTTTCAAAAACTGGACTGAAGAGAAACAATTCGCGACAGTAACTGCCACTTACTAAATGACTAATCATCGGAATAAACCCTATCTCCCGAAAGCCATAAAGTATCTTGAAAAGAAATACCATTAGGATAAACTTAACTCGTCTGTCGTATTTATTTCCTTTACCAACCCCGTTCGAATGACTAGAACACTGCCATTTTTTTAATTTTAAAACCGATTCCCGTTATAAAAATTTTCCACTCATCTGTTCTTTAAATTGACATCAAGTCGTGATGCGTTTCTGAGCGTCGTTGGATATGAGCAGTTAAGTAAGCCAATGAGCGTGATATTCACCAACACTGTCTACGTTTATCCTTGTTTTCAACCGTTAGATGAATAGAATATATTCCAAGCAATAAGCTGTTTGGCTTCTTGCACATGTAAGAATAAAAGGAAAATTGCAATATTTGGAATGTACTTCAAATATTTAAAATGTGCAATGGCATTAGAGGATTTACCTGATCCCACTCTAACAGGCGAATTTAGTTACTCGAAAAACTACATCTCCAATTGAGAACGAAGTCGTGATTAAGTGTTGGCACCCGCAGGAAGGCTCGTTCGGAGTTGGTAAAACTGAGACTTTTCTTGTGGTCACAATTATCGACTTTCCACAAAGGGTCCAAGGTACGCTGCAGCTGACCGGCCGGTTATACCGTATGGTACACAGACACGATCCTTAGGTGTAGAATAGACAAACACGGACCATCGGTGTTTGTGCACCATTAACCGAAGTGTATCAAGCAGTTGCAACTGCTCCAATTCAACAGATTGCTATGGCCAAGGCAGGTGTGTCACTGGGTTGATATCCCCGGCGTACGATGTCTGTTGTGGAAAGCACTAGTTGAATGTTGGCGATCAGATCATGTTTGGGCTTGAATGCACTACAACCTTGACCGGTAAAAAGTCAGGCAGATCGCATTATATTTCCCGATTGGCAACTGGACAATCAGCTTAACCGATGATTCGAGACCCTAGGTAATATGTTCGATGGCCGTACTCATCTCAATGGAGCCGGTATTCTCACTTGATAGTCTTTGTGACATCTGTAATCATTCGTTGGTTGGCTGTCAAGACCGCTACCAAAGGACTGAAGTATAAAACCAACGGTTTACCCAGTGGTCCGAGAGAAATTGTGGTTGGCTTTGAGTTTCTTTATAGTGTACTATCATATGACAATTCGAGAGAAAGTTCTGGAACCATCACAAAATTTTGTACTTTGCTTGCAGTATTCTGACCGCTTCTTTTCACGCTTAACAGGATACATGGTCAGTCTATGCCATGACACGAAAAAAAGTTACCAAGCTGAAGATGAAAGAATATGACGAAGTCTTTGACAAAACTGAGGACAGTAAACAAGAAGTAAGAATGGCCGCTTATCGTGTTTCTGTTTGCTTACTCGTATCGAAGAGAATCAAGTTTAAAGTCGCCCAAAATCCATAAAAGTTAGGGAAGATTTTTTACTTATGCAATTCTATGAACTGGATATCACGCATGCCCTTGGTGTTTTTCGAAATCACTCAACCTAGATGAATGACTTGAGTCAGTTACTTTAGATCTTTGAACGGCCCTTTGGAGAAAATGTCTCATTCACTTTCCAGTACATTGTCGCATTTTTCCTCCAATCTATGGCCTAAATGGTCCATTACTGTCGGTGTTCAGGCCAAGACTTTTTAACTTTAAACAGTCGAATTATATGATTAAAATTCCCCTATTTCCAACTGCTGTAATTTTATAACACGCAGAATTTTCAATTTACGGATGCTAGCGTACAGTAAAGCAGTTTGTAAAAGCAAAAAGTAAAGGTGATTTCAAGCATTTGAATTCGTTTTCATCCACAATCCTTCAAAGACGACAAAATTCACTGGTCTGAAAGTAGAAAATATATTGTCAGGGTGTGGTTATTATTCACATAGGAATATACACATGTCATTTTTTGTATTTATTTACCCCATTTTTTTAGTTCCACGCGGACTTCTATCACATGTTTATGGATATCGGTTCGGAAGAAGCCAAACGACGAATAAGGAAAATCGACCTAAAGTACCTGAAAACTGTCAAGCAGATGTTACAAGCTACCCGCCTAGCCGTGTTCTCTTGATATAAAAATAATGTATTGAATAAATGAAAGAGTATATTTGATCCACTACTTTGCACTATTTACACAACTATGAAAATGGTAATCCAAATCAATAGCGGCTCAATTCTCGAATTTTTTCAAGAACTTCGTCTGCAGTGTTGTCCACCAGAGAGACTACTGCCTCTTTTCCGTATTCTAAAAAAAAGATTACGTTCAAAACTGTGCGTACATATCACTCACCGAATCGAGCGCAGACCTTTGGAGACACACTTTCGGCCTCACGTACCATAAACTTTAACTGCGGATTGGCACGCTTCAATGTAGCATAGTGCTTCGTTAAGAACTCCCTGCAAGAAAAATACCGGGTAGTTATTTCAACGAAAGGTTCAACATAAACTAAAGATGACACAATTAAGGGATATCATGTGCATGTTTGTATTCAGCTCACGCAAACAAGAATCCAACTAACTTATCAAGGAGAATGATATAATTCCCAAGTAACAACTGTTCTGGATAGTGAAGCCGAAATCATTAAGAAATTGTACATCGCGTTTAACCCTGAGAGGGACTAATCAAGCGATAATGAGGATTCATATGCTAGATAACAGTGTGACAAAAACTAGGAGGAATAAGGCACACTAGATTAAAGNATTAAAGGCTCTTTTTCATGAGGATCAGCAACCAAATTCCTGGGCGGAAAATGTAAGCCAGAATTAGAATAGATGCCGTTCAACTGTGTGGAACAGAAACGTTCGAAATCTAAGTAATGTATATTTTGTACCACGAATGACGTAAATAGATAAACGATAATGACAACGATCACAACCATCCGATCGCAAACAGGTTATTTAACCTGATGCAGGATCTTCAAATGTGTTCTGCTTATCCTCTGTTGCGCACACGAACGCCTCCAACAAACGCATCTCTTCTTCATTTTAGCTCTCGACTAGTGCTCATCCGGGGTTAAGACTCAATCGATGACACTAGTTAGCGCACAAATCTATTCTTCGTTTGCTTGACTATCCTGTGGTTGTGTATGCTGCTTACATTTGCAACATAACAAGCGTGTGTACTGTTGCGCTTACACCAAACGGTAGGGCTTGGAAATACTTGGAGGACAGCCCATGTAGATATTTGTTGCCTCGTAACTCCTTCGCAATCCCTGAAAAGAAAGCAAGTTATCCTCTCCGAAAGAGAAAGATGTAATCTTTTACTTCATACCCAAAAGCTAAAACCCTTAATTGGTGTTGCACAGAATAGCCCATCTTTTAGACTGAATTCCAGATGAAAGGCGATCGTGCACCGTGCGGATCAGAGGGCAGGGTAGCAGATAACGGAATGACGGTTAATGCCTGTTTACTTACTTTACTGCGGCTGGCTCCTTGGAAAGGATTACCCGGCTCCAGACATGATCATGAAATCACTCGGGAGTGTGGTACGAGAGCCGTCTCCAGCGTCACTCGGCGTTAGTTTATTCTGAGGGCGCACCTCTAGTCTTTGCACAACTAAGTGCAAACTGCAAGGCAGCAGGAAGTAATCCCTCGCCTCAGAAGTGATGGAGTTAATGACTTTAGTTTTTAAACGGCAGTCACAGCGACCTTTATCAAGACATCGTCATTGGGCTTATGCGGCTTTTAAACGGCAGCCAGGTGACCAGCTTGAAACCCACCACACCCTAGTAGTGCCACCGTTGGTTGTTCGCGACTGCTTATTTATTGCGGTATGCCACAACTTAGTCATAGTTAACCTTCGGTGAAGGCATCCCCTTATCCACAACCCGGGGACGCACCTAGTAACATTCAGCTCTGCGTAACCCAAGGGTATCCATGAAAAGGGAACGGCCGCAACACCCGGTATTCCCAGCCGGTTACCCACGCAAGTGCTAACGGGGCCCGAAGTTGCTTAACTTTGGTGATCAGACGAGAACCGGTGTTTCCAACGTGGTCTGGTCACGGCCTGTTTGTGTTACTTGCGTCCGTTTCTGTTTTTCTGACAACGCAAACATTAATAATACCAAGAGCCGTTTAAGCACATCTGACGCTCCGTCTGAAACCGACTCTTGTGCATAGATTAAACCGCCATTTGTTGCGGCTGCCGTAGTGTACTAAACTGCCGAATACGCACTGGCTTTGACTACGCTGTAATACGCGTTATTTTTTGTATTGGTGGACCATACAGAAAGATTATGCTCCAAGATGACGTCAATTAAACGCAGATGGCTAAAGACCAAAGTCTGGTCAGGTTGAACCGTGGGCAACTGGCTCATCCAAGGAAATGGAATCCCATACTTGGAAACTCCTAAAGGTATGCAAGCTGGCTTTGAGGCAATCTTGTGGCAAAGGTTAACGATCCAAATAGATAACAGGGTGCATTGAGCACTTTGAATGTGTGAAACGCGTCCTAAGAGCCCGTAGGCACTGAAATGTCTACGGATAGCACAGCTGAGTGCTACCGAGCGCGTCTCCAGGTCGCGGATAGGAGAACGGCCACCTTGGTGGTTAGCCGTGAATAGGTGGGGCTCCCTCA